GCGGTAATTTCCAAGCCTGCACGCCGCGCCGCCGAGATGAAACATTAGACTACGAGTTTCGAGCTGGTTGCCGGGATCGCTATCCTGGAACGGCGGCTGGATTACTCTCCAGCGAACCATCTTGATTTCCTCTATGGTTTCTTCGGACTGTCCTCTATGAAGACCGGAGTATTTCGCCATCGTGGTCATGACGTTCGTTTTATAGCCGCATAAATGCGGCCTGATTTAATGTTATTGGTTTATTAGCGTCGCGCCGGATGGTTAATCGGTTAATCAACGACGCGTGACGACAATCAATTCCAGCATGAATCAAATTTCCGACGATATCGTTTGTTTATGCTGTATTAACATTACCCGGGTATATAGTTAAGGATGTTGAATAATTTATTATGAATTCTGTGTTGGGATAATGAAATGCTTGTGGCTTTTGGGAAGCAAATCTTTTCTCAAGTAATCTCGCGTTGTGAGTTTATTATAACAAATTTCAGGTAATCTTGCAGTTTTCAGACGTGCATATCGTTTAGTTTGTTAATCTGGGGAAATAGTGTGTGTAATTACATTCAGCCGGCGCAACGAATTAGACGAAGGTAGGCAAGTCTCTCATGCAAATGTGTGAGGTTATTAAATGGTCGGTTGAAAGGTTTCTGAGCTATAACGGACGTTTCCAGTTAATTCCTGTGGCAGTATTGTAATAGACTTCTAAAAATGAAAATAACAGTTTTAAGTTTTAAGATAATCAATGGAAACTACGTGTACGCATATGTATTTATGAAACACGACGTCTTCCTATATCCCATAATTTTAAATAATTCTTAAACAATGTTACAAAAAGCGTTCATTCTTTTTTCCTACGATTTTATCATTTTATTAAAAAATTTTCCATTTCGATTTTATCGTAACAAATTCCACTTTTCTTTTCTCAGAAAAACCGCGTTACTTACGAAATGACTTAAGAGAACGATGGTGTAATAGATACTGAAATTTTTAACAATTTCCCCTTTTAAATGTTTCTTCTAGCTATTGTACACGCGCTAATTTTGAGCGAAACAATTAAGCAAAGCATATTCGATGCGTTCTTCTCAAGTTCAAAATTTTATTTTATCGTTGTACCCACACGATGTACATATTTTCGTGCAGTGGATATCAATAGAGTTTCGCGAAGCATTTGCTAGTTGTTCATGGCACGAAATGTAAAAGTTCAGTGAAACAACGTTACGTATGTTAGACTGTGAAACATTTGTTATGGCAATAAAAATTACAATTATGCACGCGTGTATTTCCCAGATTATACGGTAACACGTAATGCGGTATTCTCCTAATGAAAAGATTAACGATATAACAAAAGTATGGCAAATATTGATGGAACGCGTTATTTCCATCCCTATTTCATCTGTATCTCAGGATGCAAGACGCGCTTGTTCAACGAAAAATTAAATGTCTAGCCGCTATTATTTACCTGGTAGTGACAGTGAAAGAGGGTATAGGAGAAACGGAAAATAGGAAAGAAATACCTTGTCCGCATTGAAACCGTAACTTTCGCCTGTTTGTCTTACGCTAATTAACTGAACATGAAATATTTTCCGAGGACGCCTGGGGACTTTCAGGTCGGAAAAGAGAAAAGGAGGAGAATGTCAGACGGGATACTATAACCGGATATTTCTATCCCGAGTTTTTTTTTTTTCTTACCTCTGACAGATCGTTAAACGTAATACAAAACTGTGCGTAATTTGCCTGTGAAAGATATTTCGATGAAAGATGCGTATAGTTTATGCAAACGATAAATACGAAATTAATTAAATTCAATCGCTATTTAATTCATGTCAAATTTTAATTTTGATTATTTAAAATAGATCGAATATCATTGGCATCGTGTACTGTAAGTTAATAGGCTTCTGCTTATGTTGCTTATGTTTGTTATAAATCCAACATAACGCAAAATATTTTGTTTTCACGCAAAGTGCGTGTAGAACGTACGTATAAACGGTGCTTGCTGTGTGAAATAATTAGCACATTTCCAATGTATTTTAAGTTGGCTAAACGAGCTACAACATTTTTAAGCGCAATTTATGTTTTCACTCAGCCCGGAATGACAATTTTCTCCGCTTCCTTGCAAATATTTATAAAACAATTTCATTTCTATTACGGATTTTGTAAAGCTTAATTTCATATCGAGGATGAAAGCAGAGCGCCGCGTTACTCGAAACAATTGAAAGAAACTGCGGATAAGGTATAGCGGGAACATTTATTTCCTCTCACAACGTCGAATGTTTTATCGTTCTGAATCGTTTGAATTTCCGATAGTGTATCGATTTAGCTAGTAGCATAAAAATAGTCGCCAAGATAGCCCTATTTTTAAATCGTTACGAAATTGATTAAAAACGACAACGGCGAAGACCAACATGAGAGAATATCTTGCTACATTCATTCTATTTAAAAAAGTGATAACACAACGACGACCTGGTAAGAATTGATTCTACAGGATAAATAGAAGCAAGTTCTTCCTCCTCATCGTCTACCGGCGTTGCGTTCCTTTTAACGGCAGGAGGCTGGAAAAACGTCGAGGGAACCCGTTTGAAAAGTACGTACGTAACGGGAATTCATTTTCTCTTAAAACGTTGGCGAGTCTCTTTCATCATAAATGTTATTAATCGCCGGAGGGCCTTTCGTCCCGGGGATGTTCAACATTTAAGTGTCGAAGTTTTTCTACTTTCTTTGTGAGCTTTCCGTACCACCGGCTCCTCTTCGCTGACCCTCGCTCGCGAATGCTCGGTCTGACATCACCGGCACACGCTTTGCCGTGCAAAACGCTCGAGTTCTGTTCAAAACGTTTGTCTTAACGAAGTTAGACTCCCGTGTACAGCGAAGTTTTCCGGTTCGTGCCGCACGATTTGCAACGAGAGTTTCGCCGAGTCTCGAAATATATCTCCATACCTGGCCGGTGTGTACAGGCTTCCGCCACCCGGTGTGTACGATGACTGGCCAAATCGTGCAGGAGAATTCTTAAGATTTACTTCACCTCCGCCTCTTCGTCCCGTTCCGATGCTTCTAATTAAGCCGGCTACGCGATAATAACAATTATCCGAGTACGAACTTTGCACGGAAGTTGCGCGATGATTCCTACTACTTCGAGACACATACGAGTATACTGCTGTCCGAAAGTTTTGGCTCACACGTTATTTTATTATCATACTTTGGAAAACTTATATCTTTCAAATGAGAAGCTCGCTTTTTGAATAGGTATACCACGCTGAACATCATCTCCGGAATAGATATGATACAGCCACTGGACTAACGAACATTTAATTAGTACGTGCAGTTAAATGTCTCTTGCTAAATTATATTCGAAAGATTTTTCGCTGATCTTGGCTCGGTTCAGACCAAGATTTAAAGTTTCGCAACTAGAAACTGACAATACCGAAATAAGTTAAAGTGATCGTATTTCAGATTCCAGTGTATCTTTGTATAATATTATGTCACTCGCATTTCCAGATGGATATATATTTACAAGTTCAGCTGCCACGATCATCAAAATGTGAGATTTTCTTAAATCGCTAAATCTTGGAAAAATGGTTAACGTAGAAGCATAATCATTGCAATCCGATTGGAGTAGCACGATTATTCCAGGAATACTATTGTTCTTATCAATGAACTAGCACCGAAGAACGACGTTAATGCGAATACCTTTTACAACAAAGTCCCAGTTGGAGCGATGTAGCAAATAGTTATGGCATCTTTAGTCGATAGTGGAGGCAATGGTATGGTAGTATGAGTAATACGTTCCCGTCGAACAAAGCTGATGCATGCGCATATAAAATGCGGGACTTGTTTGTCAAACACCGAACACGTTTCTTATATTCAAGCTTTTTCGATTTACGGTGCCGCGCTATTTTCTATCATCGATGCTAACGTGCTAGAAATTCAATTAACATCACCTCTGTGTTGTTTGCGCACTTAAGAAACGACGACGGAGGAGACTGAGAATGTCGCCGCTATAATTGTATCGCTAGCCGATCTGCATGAGAAGATAAATGGACAAATGCAACGTACAAATTGAATGGAACTTTAATGTTCATACGAACGTATTTGATCGTGTTCTTCCGTTCTCGTTCGAATTATTTATACGGCTGTGTATGTGTACTTCCCTGATGTTCCTGCATTATATCTGAGTAACGATTTGCAACATTGTTGATATCGTAATTATGTCTCGGCGTAGCTATCACAATATCGACAATGATAGAGTAGTAATCACTTGGTCTCCTCTCTTAACCTGACATCTTCGACGCTATTAACCCCTTAACCTACAACTACGGGCATAGCCCGTAGTACGTACTACACAAATTGTGCGAATGGCTCGAAGGCTGCGCGAGCTTGTTTAAATTCTCGAACGTAAATCGTAGGTTAAGGGGTTAATACTACTATTCTAGTAACTTCAAATCAACTTTTCAAACGCGTATTAAATTAATATAACTCGCAGGCCAAACTTCCTTCACGCAAATATCGCATCCTTCACGCAAGCCTCGAATGATGTTGGTTTTAATTAATTTTCTCCGTTCGGACATAAATGTGGGATGAAACGAGGACATTATCGTTACGAAGAAGTCAGATAGATGAAACTGAAGGATCCGACGTCGAACGATTTAGGTATTTACGTGCTCGTTCCTTCTGTCTGGAATTGAGCGTATCGTCTCGTGTCGGTATAATCGCCCGTAGAAATCGTACTTTTTCCCTGTGCCTGGTTTTGCTCAGAGATGAAAGAAGGCACGGAGACAAAGCAGAGGAACTGGCAATTTCAAGGTAGCGTTACGCAATTTACTGCCTTTTCTCCCTAGAAAAGTTCCAGCTAAATAAGAGAGCCAAGGTCTTATTAGGAGATGATGGGGGCGATGTTATGCCTTTCCACCATGGCTCTCGGAAACAACACGCTGCCTTAAGTTAACGGAACACAGACGCAGAAGAACACCGGTGGATGGAGGTAGTTTGTCAACTCTGGGGCTTGTTTCTAGCCCCAGTGAACCTAATTAAAGTCGTGCACTTTTCTTTCATTACCGACCTCCGTGTTCCATGCTCCCTTAAATTCAACAGTCACTCCCTTGCTCCAAATTACTATAAATGATCCGTGGGATATCTCTTACCGTTACCGTTGATACGTAATGGAAATTACTCGGATTGTGTATACGGTTCAACGTGTTCGCTAGTTACGACCGTTGCCTGCGATACCTTGAGTATCCATGATTAACTAGAATAGTTATAGCACCAGTCTTTCTTCGCGTTCCAGCTATTCTGCTTCGGATTTGTCTCAACAATCGGAAGAATCTTTGCAGGATTCAAACTATCAATCGTTATATTGAAAGTGAATATTTATATTCAGCGATCACACGAGGAAATTGATTAAAACCAGTAACGTAAAACGTATTATTGTCCAAGTTCTATTTTCCGATCGAGACACGAATTTCAACGAGCTAGGCGTAGGAACAAACGCAACCGGGTGAGATGAATCTGCCGAAAACTTTGGCGAGGCTCGATTCTTTTTTCAATTAATATATTTCAACTCCCTGTGGAATTTAATCACAGGAAATCGATGGAAGCATCCGGCTTTTTAGAAGCGACCCTTCAACGTCGATCACTCAATGGGCAGGATGTAGCCGACTGGCGGAAAGGGGTTCCTGGTTACATCGTCCCTCTGGCCCTTTCCCCGGGAGGGCCCTAGGATTGCGTTCGTCCACGTACGACGCAGCGACGTGTCCCCCTTCCCCTCTGATACGTCGGCTCATCCGGAAGTCACTCCGATACGGTTCACTCGTCCGTGCGTTCCACAGCGAAGTTTCTAGCTCTCTGGTGAATTAACAACAACGTGGTCCGCTCTACTTGAACAGTCGTGTAATCTCACGTATAGGCTGTCCCTTCCATAAACGTGCAGAGCATTGTCGGTTGCACACGAATGCCTGGCTACCCAGTGGTTACGGTAATGAAATTGCTACGCTACCCCCACAGCTGATATTATTCCGCTTCCAACAGGAATACCGGCCATTGCGTCGGTTGGTTTAGGGACTAGCGGAGTGATATTTCGAGAAGTTTCCTCGAGTTATTCGCGAGCGAGCTCCCATTAAGCACGTATATTGTCCGCTCTATACCTGCCCGGATACGTTGCACCGTATGCCCGCACGCGAAAGATGCCTCTGCTGCTTTTCCTGTTCGTCCTTTTCGCCATCCACTCTCGCCGACCACCAACCCCACCTACCTTGGCCTTCGTTGGCCCGTCTCTCGCTCCGACCGGGTGTCGTTAACCGCGAATTAATGGAAAAGCAACGGCCGTTGTTTTTTCCCGAGTTCACTCGTATCCGTTGCACCATCTGTATATCTGGCTTGTGTCTTTTCTACGTGGTTTTTACGTTTCTCGTGCCGAAAGGAAGAAATAATTAATACTTCGTTCGAATAAATCTTACCGTTCGGTATGATTCGATTTAACGGAGGCTGGTGAAACCTGAAATGACATCCGGGCACGATTTGACAGTATGTTGGCAGTAATTCGAAAAACACGATAATACGAGGATGCAAAAATTCCTACGTCTCGTATATTGTTTATTAACAACACTGTTTCTTTTTTTTTTAATTATAATGAATTCAAGTAGAAATTATTCTAACAATATGTAAGCAGTGGCTTTCTCTTTGTTTTATTTCTGATACACGATGTTTTGATATGGAATAATTTAAATTATAGCTTTTTCTTGTTCCTGTACTGATTAAAATTGAACATTCGACGTAATCCCTATCAAAATTATGCAATATTTTCCGATTCTACTTTCCGTATGATTTGCGTTCGAAGCGGCGATATTTGCCTTGGGTCGAATTCCTCGGAAAATCCGGAAAACGAGGCGAGTAATAACGAAGTATCGTGAGCCGTATAAAACAGTAAATGGCGTGATATAGGATTGCAAGGTATAAATTACAGCGAAATTTGTAAATGAATCATTTCGTACGAAAGTATGAGAGTAACCGAGGGCATAACCGTGCAGTGAACATTCCTGTTTCTGTACTGGTACAGTCAATATTTACATAGCAAACGTCGAGCAATGAATTCGTGCAGTCTCTGTGAAATGACATTTTATGTTATGTTTACATTTTCATTACTTATTTCGTACACTATCAACTCAATGCAATACCATTAAATGCAATGCAAAAAATGACTGATCAAGATAACAAATGAAAACGTTTTTTAATCCATAAATATTAGCATTAAAGAATTCGAGAATCTGTTTTTTTTCGTATACTATCAGCCCAATGCAATACCATTAAATGCAATGCAAAAAATGACTGATCAAGATAACAAATGAAAACGTTTTTTAATCCATAAATATTAGCATTAAAGAATTCGAGAATCTGTTTAATATCGCTTTTTGAAATTCCGATTTTTCAAGATTATATTGTCTTTATCGTTATATCTCTCGAATATTAATTAATATTAAAATGGAGCTAAAGAAAGTGTAACATTTAATTTCAAGAAACGAAAATTCTTCTGCATATCTGAACAATTTATCATTCATTTTGAACGAAGTAATGACGTTTAATCGTACAATTTTAAGCTCACAGGTACTTCTCGAGTAACTGTCCTTTTTTGCAATGCTGAAAGTAAAGGGAATATTTTAGGTAATAAAGTTTAAAGGAGACAAGCTTTGGAACGAGTGAAAGAAAAGAAGTAAGAAGAAAGATGTAAGGGAAGTAAAGGGAAGTAGAAAATAGCGTAAGCAATAATGCACAAGGACGTTAAGTGAAGGGGTTAAACGGGAACAGCTTAAAGACTGGAAAGTTAATACTGGAAAAAAATTAGAAACTGTCGGGTACCTCTCGTTGTTTCCAGGAACAATCCGTGTACCTGTTATACATAGAAAACACAGGAATCTACGGCAGTAACTTACGCCTTCGAACAGAGGAATTGAGATGATAGAAGGAAGTTATTTCCGGAAGGAAGTTAACCTCCTTTCGAGAATAAAATGGCTTTAAACGGATTAACATAAACCTTCCTGAACGTTTCTCAAGCTTTAACGTTACCTTTACTCTTTGCTCCATCTACAGACTGGAAATGAAAAATTTGTCAAGAATGCCTCTGTTACTATTAGTAATTTTACAGTAAAATAGTTTGATTATTAGAAAAAATACCACTGCTTCAGCAACATCATATGTATTGTATTAACATTGAATATTTTTCATATATTTTAATTAATTACACCTTTTTAAACAAAATGTATTTCCATCTATACAAATTAAAATATTTTCAATAATCGAATTAGTAAGTTAATAATTCTCCATTGTCATCAATAATTTCTACTCTTTGAACATTTTGATTTTGTAATCCTTATTATTTCCGGATTTCGAATTTGTTGTATTCGTTGAAACACGACTTGCTTTAGTATTTAATTTTGTTTAAAACATGTTCGATATCAATTTTTTTATATAAGATATATAACACGACATAGTCTCCAAGAATAGAACAAATCGTGTTAACAACTTTAACACCGTTTTATTGAGTTATGATATAAAAAAAAATACATGCACTTTATAAGATTTAAACATGCGCCAGCAGTTATATCGCAGGCAAAATGCTAAATAAAAGTCTATTTCAAGAATTAAATGTCGACACGTCATACGGCAGTTAAAATTAGTATGGTAGTATGATATTTGAATTTGAAGTACTGAAATAAAATGACAGAATTCTTGTTGACAGCTAATAATTTATAGAAGAATAATATCCAGTCATTAATTCAACAGGGGCACTTAATTTAATTGTAATTAGTCTCAGTTATACATAACGTGTTAGCTAGTTGACAGAAATTTCTGGGAAGCTCGCTTGTATTGATTTAAACACAGTCACGAGGTTCTGACTCGTAAGATTTTTTAAAATGGTCGTCACTACTTGCTCAATGCTTTGCGTAACTTTTACGATAATAAAGAATTCGATTGACTATGTACCTGAAAAGTATTTCTCAATTATATTTGTTATCTTGAAACGAAGAGAATTTTCGGTGAAATCTTTTAATATATTTTTATATTCCGTTAGAAACGGAAAAATGTATTATGCCCTGTATGAAAAACATTTTTTCCTAAAAGCCGAACTTCATATGTTGAAGTAAAAACTCGCATTACCCTTGTCACGGCACAATGGTTCGTATTCTCGTTCGTGTTTACAAATGATATACAAAATAAACAGTCTTTCAGAAGGGAATATAAATAAAAACTACATCTGATTCAACTATATCTGCCATCGTTGCGCTTTGTAATCACTTTTTACTCTTCGCTGCCTCTTTCTGCCCGACATAAATAATGCTGTTGCCGTACCTTCCGCGTATTAAAATTTTACTCACTGCGAATGAATCCCTGATCATTTATAGCCATAC